AATCAGCATAGAAGAATTCACTTGGAGGAGGAGCAAAGATGGCAGATAGATAACAACTGGCTGTAGAAGCTTCCTGTAGAACTTAGAATTCAACATAATACAGAGTAGGGAACCTCAAACAGAGGAAGATGAATTCTCTTGTCCCAAGAAGAAGTTAAGGTGACTTGCCGACCATCCGAGGTCCCACCGTGACTGACCAAGGTCCTGCTGCGACTGGCCGGGGTCCCGCCGTGACTTGCCGAGCCGTCCAAGGTCCTACCACTTCGACTCACTGGAGGTGCAGTTACATTGAGTTCGGGTCAGCAAGCAGAACTAAGAGGGCTAAGTTGGCAGGATGCCTACATCGACCTGTGGTGAGTGATGGCAATGGAGCCATTCCATAAAGAGGGGCGCTCCGGGCGGATGACATTCTGGGACCAGGCAGGACTGGCAAAGTACAAAAGGCAGCAGTGACTTTAGTCAGTTGTTCTCTTCCCAAACGAGATTGGTAGAGTGAGCTAGACCTGGGTCACATGACCCGGCTGAGACCCAATAGGTTATCCGAGGTCAAGTCCCTACAGCAGTGCGCACAGTAACCACACTGGCCCAGTGGGGCCTCGGAGATTTGGCTGGTACGGAGGGGAGGCGGCACAAAGTAAAATAGTAGTGCAGGCCACAGCAGCTTGACTGATCCGGAGGGGAGGGGCCAGCATGCGCTGTCCCTGTCTGCAACTCACTAGCACATTGCAGTGGGAAGGGTCATCTAGCCAGCGTACTGCAGAAGAATTGTAACCAACAAAGAAAGAAACTGGGACCTCCTGGAAGAGCAAAAAAGATGGGAAGACAAAGCAACAACAAAAAGTGCCCAGCTCCCAACCCTGAGAACATTCACCCAGGACAGGTAAATACAAAGGAGAATGAGAACAGCAAACATGCAGTATCAGACACAGCACCAGTGGACATAAAGAGATATATTTGGGACCTCATAGATGAGTTCAAAAGTGAAATATTTAGCCAAGTAAAGCAAGATATAAGAAGATTAATAAAAGAGACACTAAGCACTCCTCAAGCAGACACAGATGGAAGAAGGGAGGAATTCAAACAAAGGAGAGAGCCATTTGGTGAAGAATATAAAAAAAATATAGAATACAGGAAGCAGATTCAAAGAGATCACCAGGAAATTAAAAATTCTATGGAAAGATGGCAAATCAGCTTGAAAGAAACTAAGGATAGATTATCCAAACTGGAGGACAATTTTGCAGTATGGGAGCATGAAAGGGAAGACTTTTTAATAATAACAAGGAAACAACCAGTACCAATACAAAGGCTAGAAGATGACAAAAGGCTCTATAACTTGAGAATAAAGAATGTAAATGAAGAAACTAGGGTACAAACAAAAGAACTACAAAGGTTATTCACAGAAATAATTAAGGAAAACTTCCCAACATAGGAAAAGGAAATGATATTCTGATATATGAGGCATACAGAACTTTCCACCTACAACCAAAACAGAGCTACACCCAAGCATATAATAAGATCCCAGAAATGCAGTATAAGAACAGAATATTAAAAGCTGTTAGAGATAAGAAACAGATAACCTATAGAGGAAAGCCTATCAGAATAATGGCAGACTTCTCGACACAAACCATCAAGTCAAGAAGAGCCTGGAGCAAAATATTCCAAGCCCTGAAAGAAAATAACCTCCATCCCAGATTGATATATCCTGCTAAACTGTCTCTAGAAATTAATGGAGAAAAATTAATGGATGCTTCCAAGACAAAGAGGAACTTGGAAAATTTGCAACCACCAATCCAACTCTACAGAGAATACTGCAAGGCATTGGAGAGAGAGAGAAAAGTACTAGGATTCTAGGAACAGTGGTAGAGAGGCCTCAATGAATGGAGCAAAAAACAGAATGAAGAAGATAAGCAGACAACTGATGGCAAAAAAAGAGCATAACAGAAATGAGGCAGAGAAGATTTTATTCAAAACTGATATGATTGATAGTATCAAGTCTGAGACTATAGGCAACTACACTGAAGATGACAAGACTCTATGATACGCATTCTGGTTTGATAACTGCCGATTTTTGAAGTTCTATCCTATATGCAAAGTTATGTTTTTATTAATACTGTTATGTACTGATATATTCAATTATACTATGTCTGATGATATAGCCAATTCTATTGGAGATAACAGACAACACAGGAACCATGGTAGAACTCTTTGTACAATGGTCTTATATGGTTTTTTTTTTGTTTCATATGTTTATAGGAATGTGTTTCGTTTTACCTTGCTTTGTTTTGTTTCTCCCTGTAATATAGAAAGGATAGAAATACACATTAAGACTCATGCATGTGTAGAATCTATAAACAGTTTATGAGAACTGATCATATGACACATGATGAAATGAACAGATACTTTGAAGAAAAAGAGACACTAAAATACCCAGTGCTGATCCTGGAGTGTCATAATGTGAAACCTAGCAATAGTATTATTCTTTGTTCAGAGTGATATTACCCTGCTTGGGTTTATTCAATCTCAGCATAATTGAAGATATGGATAATTGCATGTATATTTAAGTATATAGGATTGATAACCATATTTCTAAGTTTTTGTTGGATAGTTGAACAGAACTGTTTGCAGTCTCACTGTTTGAATCCCCACTTTATATGCTCCACTTTAGTATCTCTAATAACTATTTGTAAGAAAACAATCTATAATCATCAACTAGTGATTTCTTACTGTTTATTTTTTCTTTGAAATTATGTATTATTTCTACCCTATTTTTTGTTTTGTTTAGTCTTCCTTTAAATTAAATTAAAAAAAAAACACTACAGTACCCAGTGCTGATCACAGAGTGTCATGATGTGAAATCCAGTAATACTATTATTCTTTGTTCAGAATGATTTTAACCAGCTTTAGTTTGTTTAATCTAAACGTAAATGAAGATATGGATAACTGCATGTATGTTTAAGTGTATAGGATTGACAACCATGTTACTAAGTTTTTGTTGGACAGTTGAACAGAACTGTTTGCAGTCTTGCTGTTTGAATTCCCACTTTTACAAGTTCCATTTTTGTATCTTGAACAACTATTTGTAAAATGACAATATGTAAACATCAACTAGTGATTTCTTACTGTTTATTTTTTTCTATGAACATATGTATTATTTCTACCTATTTTCTGTTTTGTTTAGTCTTTCTTAATAAAATTTTTAAAAAATCCACTTATAGATTAGGTAATTTGGTAATTTTTTTAAATCTCCATTTTGTTTCTATAAAAATTATTTTGGGGCCATATGCTAGGCACCCTCTCCATGAATGACCATATGTTCTTAGATACAGCATTTCTTTTTCTCACTAAAGATTGTAGAAATAAGAATACTCAGTAATACACTTAGGACTCTTTTGTCTTTTTCTTGCAGATTCATGATATGATTGTTTTATTCATTTCAGGAGGGTTGGCTGGAAGCCAGAGAAATTTGTTCCAATATTTGTGACATGGAGTAGAAACATCAGGAGCTGCTTATTATGCATACTGGGGTTGTAGTACCTAGGTGTGCTTCAGCATAGAGAGTGTCTTTTTATCTTTGACAATTCTCTGTTTCTGAATCTTAGCTGAGGTTTGATTGTTCATCCTCTAGTTTAATCAGATCAAATATGAAGCCAAGCTGTGCACTGTGCTGCTTGTCTGTACCAAAGTCAAGCCTCCTTGCTAAAATAATTGATTTTCAGAAGATTGTACGTCACAGCTTTATTTTGTGTATGTTGGTTATTTACTAGAGAATCCATTCACCGCTGGAAAATGCAGCTGAGGTGTACCTGACTTACATCTGCCTGCAGGTGGAAATGTGTCCAGGAGCACCTCATCTTTTACTGTACATCTGTTTTCTTGTTTCATTGTGCTAAGGAAAAGCCTGGTAGAAAGAGTTGTGATGTCACTTTGCGTGCTGCAGCTCTACTCTGTAATTTAAAATCAAGTTTGGGAAGTAGTTATCTAATTCCTTTTAAGTTAATGGAAAAAAACAGTATTAAAGCGCCAATAATTTCCAGATGGGTAGATACATGTGTTTTACAAGCTAGCTTGATATCAAAGGATGACATGTTGGCCCCTGATGCTAGTGTGTGGCTGTGGTCTAGTTTTCTTTTTCCAAGTTTATCTTCATAGGCATTTTCTGACATTAAGCAGAATGGATTTTAGATAGTCATAGATATGTGTTTTAAGAATAACTAAATTTAATGTCCTTGGTTATTCCCCTTCACCTATGGGCAGCTACAGCAAAATCGTTGTTCATGGTGTCTTTTTCACTTTAGGAGAAACTTGCTTGTCTTAAGCATATTTCGGCTTTTTCTCAGTTAGAGGCAGGCAAGAGGTCAATAATTTCATTTTCCCAACAGCTTCCAAGGGTTCTTCCTTTTTTCTTTTGTAAACTGTGTGTAACTGAATTACACTCACCTTTTTATCCAAAAACCTATGGCAGGCATCTGTAACCAATGCTGAGAGCACATGCTGGTGGGTTTTTTCTTTTCTTTTGCAAGATAGTATGAGATTTTGAGTCATTAAGTGCAAGTTTCCTTAAAAATTAGAACAATAAGGATGTGGTGTCAGAACTTGAAGAAAGGTAGACAAAGCCTGAAATGAAACTAAAAGCTAAGATTTTTGCCATGGGCCAGAATGTACTTGTTTGAGTCTGTTGCCTAAACATGAGTGGTTTCAAGTTCATGGAGGAAATATTTCTCACCTACCTACAGGAATATCAGGGAATAAAAACAACTATCTTAATGTAAATGCCTCTCCCCCTGCTCCCTAGCACCACCACCAGTTGTTCTCAGTAGGTTGCAATGTGGCTGTGAATCAAAAAGCATTTTGTTTTCTTGTTGAGTACATTTTCCCTTATACTCAGGTTCCATCAATTCTATTTAAAGAAAGGTTGAGCATGAGAAAGACAGTGCAAGGAGGGAGGAGCTGACAAAACTGCAATGAATTCAGATACATTTTTTTGCTTGTCTGGCTGCTAGATGCATGTTGGCCTGGATGCTGTGGGACAGCGTGCCACTTTAATCTTACATGAGATAGTATCATTCAGGTAAGTATTAAAATTCACTGAAATATCAACTTTGTTCTAAAACTTTCATGATTATTGAGGATTGACAGTTAACCGGCAACAGTAGTGAGACCAGATACACTGAACATGATGGGAGTTAGATCTGTATCTGGTATCTCAAAGCTTTAAAACTATGTGGGTAGTTATTCTAATGCCCTTTGTGTGTTGTTGTTGTTGTTGTGTTTTGTTTTGTTGGTACCGAGGATCAAACTCAGGATCTTGCACTTTGCCAAGCAGGTGCTTGTGCCACTGAGCTAAATCCTCAGGTCTTTAATCCCCCCTTTTTGTATGTGGGGAAATTGATAATTATAAAAGGTTAAATGATTAAGCCTTGTCTTATAGCTAGGAAGTGATACAAGTAGGATCAGGACCCATATCTGTAGGGCTTACAGTTCTGTGCTTTCACCCATTACACTATTCAGTTTTTATCAGGAGGTGGATTTGTATTGGGAGTAAGTAAAAAAGATGGGTAGAATTATGACAAGCCTAAAGGGATGATTATCAGAAAAAAGTTTTTCTTTCAGATTTTCTTTGTTGAATATTAAGAAGTTTGAGAAGAAAGTTGACATAGAATTTGCCAGGAAAGTGCTTAAGGTAGAATGAGCAGGAACTTCTCTCCTCAGACAGGTAAACATTAATTTACTCCCTGGCTTTTGTGAAGCCAGCAACTGCTGTTGGCTCTTCTGAGGAGCCACCGTTCACCCAGTGGCAGATACAGGCCAACCATTGCCATGGCAACAGCAGGAAAAGTAAGCAGTTTAATTCTAGAACTGATAATTAACTGGGGGGTGAGGTGGGAGTAGGGGGATAATTGTTGCAGGAGGGAAACTTAGTAATTACTGGCAAACTGTACAGATGAAAAGGCCAGGCATAGATGCTCCAGCCCAGCATGCTAGTGCATTCCGCCCTCATCCCTTTTGGTTACAAATTTTTGATAAACTAAAATAAAGGGTTGAGTTCCCATCAGCCAACCAAGTCTCTGTAAAGAAGCACAAGAAGAAAAAAGAATTTGTCATAGGCCATGAAAAGAAATGCAGGAGGCCCAAATAAGTGATTCCCCTAAATGATACTACCCAGCCAGAAGTAATCTAGAAATGCTATCTAAACTCCACAGGAAAAATTCATGCTTGGGGATAAAATAGGGCCTATGAAGCATACTTGTGAGTTTCTACTTCTGTGGATGAAGTGGGAGAACAACAACTTACAAGGTAAAAGGAAGACTTGTAGAAAGGTGATCAAATTGTATAGGTACTTGATCATCATGCCAGTTAGTCTATCAGTGCTTCTGAAACTGTGTTAATGAAAGTAGCCAAGTACTCACATGAAAGATTAGGTATCTCATGTAATCCTTACAGCCCTCTTAGTTGACACTTGTTAATTCACAGAACCAGAGATGTTCAGTACTGTGAGCAAGGTCACAGAGCTAGCATAGCAAGTCAGTGTGCTGAACCTTGTTATCCTGTTGAGTTTATTTATAAAATAGAACCCATACAACTCAGTGGGGAAATCATGTACCCAATGTCAAAAAGACTGAAGTACATATAAACGATTTACTGTAAATCAAAAGGAAAACATTTCTTCAAGTAAAATAACATAAACTTCAAAATAAAAATTGGTGAAAGGTTACAACTGGGTAATGTTCGGTTGTCCTTTGGAAATCTCAGTCCTATAGCTAATGATTAGCCCTAGATGCCAAACCATGATCAGGTGAGTAAGTTCAGGTCTTGATTTTTGTCCCTAGTTTATTTCTTGACTCAAGCTTAAGACTTGGAAGAGGAGGTGAGGTTCAAAGAGACTGCCCAAACTTCTAATGATCTGTTTCTACCAAACTTCTGTAGTATGTGTTTTTTATAGAAAAGACATCATTGCACATCATTGCACATGGCAGGACTTTGCTATATTCATTTGTGGTAAGTGGATGAATACGAAGAGTTATTATGAGACAGTGAATCTTATAGGGAAGAGAAAAACAGCATACATTCAGCAGTATTTATGAAAAACCTACCTTGTTCTACAGCATTATCTCTGGTGCTAGGGAGACAGTTATAAACAGAACTTTGAAGTTCCCTGCTTTCAAAGAGCTTACATTTTAGAATCTCAAGTAAGTTTTAAGAATGTAAATAGTGTATAATTTAAAAACACATTTTTAGGAGACCCATTAGTTCTTTTAAAATTGATTTATAAAAGAAAACCTGCTCAGTTCCTCTGGCTAGTAGGAAAATAGGAAAAAGGTAGAAGAAGAAGGTAATGCAAATTTATAATCATTACTTAAAATCTGAGCTTACCTATCATTTTCCAGAGTTTTGACAAACTAGTAAGTTGATGTGCAAGTGAAACAGTATCAAAATTTTTGAGTGCAACTGATACAAGTAATTATGCTAGAAAATATAATTTTGCCTTCATAATAGGGATGGGATTATTTCAAGGAGATCTCATTAATATACTGTTCATCTACAAACAGCAGTGTAACCTTTTTCTTATTAGATTAGATCAGGGCCATGATGCAAAAGGCTGCTAAAATAATTGCCAGTCTTTTGTTTTAAGAAAATAAATTAAGCACTGTATAGAAGTTTAGATTCAGAAATTAGAATAATTGAAGCCAGAAGAACTGTGACTACTAATTCTGAAATCTCCATAAGCCTCTGTCATTTTCTTTTTTAGCCATGTATTTAACAAATTTTATCAAATGCCCAATATATGTCAGCCACTGTTAGATGTTGGAATGTAATAGCAAAACCCAATGCAACTGTCTCCTGACTGTATAGTGTGTGATATTGTCTACAGTTCCTAGGCATATGCATAAGCCCACCACTGTGGTCCTAGGCATATGTTTGTTCTATGTGTACTCAACTCTGCAAACATAAAGAATTTGCAGCCTACTTGTATCTATAATTGGACATTTCCCAGTGCTTCCTGATTTCCGAGGGCTCCTCAAGTATCTTACACTGAACACAATTTAAGTTTTCACCTTGCTCCTCTAAAGTTTCCATGGCCCAGTAAGTTTAGCAGAAGTTTCTTAATTGTGTGTGCCTTGAATACAAATATATGCCATGGTATAATACAAACTTTGAACAGACTGGTAGTTATGAGATCTCTTTATTTTCTTCAACCTGTTGGTCCCAAACATTGACCCGAAGACTGTTTTTACTTTTTTCACAGAAATATTCTTTTGAAAGTGTTCCTCACAATTGTACTATGCAAAAGGGAATTCTAGTCCTTTTCCACCAGATGGTGGAACCTATTGTTAATGATTTGCCATCAGAAAGGAAGTATAAGAAATGTAAGAGTCCATATCTCCTTAGTTTGAAATCTCTTCCATATTATACTTTGCTTTCAAATAACTGGGACTTCTGCTCTTTTCACTGTGATTGATACAGTGTATTGTAACACTCACATATTTTAAGTTTCATAGATTATGAAACTTTTCTCATTGCTGACACAAAATACCTAATACCCACAAGTTAAAGGTTAAGGAAATACTTTGGCTCACAGTTTTTAGAGGTTTCAGTCCATAGTTGGCTGGCACCTAGACAGGGTGGCATAGCAGAAGTCCACTGCAGAGGAGGAACAACTCAGGGCAAGCACGAAGCACCAAGCAGCAAGCCTACCTTTTTTCTGTTGCTGTATCTTCTGTCCAGGCAAAAAGCATATTAATTGGTGCTACCTACACCTAGGGTCAGGCTTCCCATTACCCCCACTCAGAACAATGCTAATCAGCAAAGTAATCCAGTCATCTGACCCTTAATCCGTATTCACACACCTTAGATCCAGCCACCTGCTAAAACCCCCACCTATGAGCATTTGGGGCTTTGCAGGGACATCTAGATACAAGCCATAACAGAAACTAATAGACATTCCTGGGAAAAAGAGGCCTAGAAGGGATTGCTGTGACATTTTTAAAATTAACATTGAATTTAGATGTTCATAATTCTATGTAAAGAACAACATATATCATACATAACTGTTTTATGCTCTTTTCATATTAATAACTCCATTCTGTTTTTAACAGTAACAAAAGCTATGATATTAACGGATGCCAGACATCCAGCACCTTGTCTACCAGAAAGTAGACCTATTACTAAATATGAAGGAATACACAACAATGACATTCTTCTAATTTAAGTCAGTTTGTATCATGATAATTGTGCATCATATGTGTAGTATTTATTACATGCATTTCACATGGAACCAAGAAAATGATGCACATAAATGTATTTTGCAAACTATTAAATGCTACATCTAAGGAATAGTTTATTTTTTCTCTATTAACAATCAGGGTAGTACCCAGCATTTCAGTACATTAGAAATTTCATTAATACTACCAGATCTTGATGCCAAATAGGTTATACAGAGGATCACAACTTTTTGAGTTGAAGGACAGAAACGGAGGGCCAGTCCTTCAGGAGAACTTTGATGTTTCAATTTCTTTAATAACCATCCAGAGACATCAGTAGCCATTCTGTAATATATAAAGGATCAAGTAAGATAACATATGTGGGTGGGTGTATGTGCATGTCAAAAAATGTATACATCAGGAAATGAAAAACTTGGATAAATATTTTCTTACTAAATTTACTGAGATGACATGAGGTTAATGTAAGTTATCTTTGGACTTTACAATTATAGGAGTTCTCATTATCTTCAAACATTTATTAGTGTGGTGAACTGCTGAAGTATGTCTGTGTTTTTTGGTGGATTCTATTACACCTCACATGTTTAGCACTTAGACATGAGATAGGATTAGATGATATAGTTAAGCCTGTAGTTTTGTGAAGATATAATTGTATTTACAACCCAAGTTTCAAGTGTGAGTCTTTTAAACAAGTACTTATCAGAAATAACAAATGAAACAAGAAAGCACATTTCTAATTTTCAAAGTATATACAGAAGTCTCATTCCCTCATTCTATCACTCCTGAGAGGCATTTTGCTATCCCCATACTGCATAAATGAGGAAATTAAATGAGAGTAAGTGACATCTCC